TGCAAGACAAGTTCCAAATAAAGTTTGAACAGAGGAGTTATAGCTGTTCCATTTTCTAGCTTGAAACTAGAGATCAACATTCTCTGAGGATGTTTTAACATTTCATTCTCGATTGCATAATTCTTCATGTAGTCTCCAATGACGTTTCATCAAACCTCAGTATTTTTGAAAACTGGAGGAAAGTTGGCAAATCTTGATTTTAGCTCATCTGGAACAACTCAATCGCACTGAACATATCCAAAAAGAGATCCATCTTTTCTTTTTCCTAGAAGGGAGTCTGCAGAAAGTGGTCTTTTGTAGGAAAAGTGGGTTCTGACGTGATTTTTGATCTTGTCATCGGTTTTGAAACTTCCTACCACTCACACTCCCACATTTCTTCAACTTTGTATCCTTTCTCTTTATTGTATTCTCGTCGCATATCATCCATCTCTCTCTTCTTATTACTTCGTTCAATACCCTGGTCTGTTAACGAGGGACGAGCTTCTTGACAGGAACAGAAGTGGTAGTAGCATCCCATTGCTTCGAATACTGTTTTACAGTGATCGCAGTAACCATCAAAATTAAAACAGTCGATTTTTTTCTGTTTTCCAGATGTAAAAAAGCTCTCAATTTTACATTCTGGTCTTGTTTCTCGATAGTAAGATATGACCATATTCTCAAAGTTGGGAGTTTGATTTTGTCTAGCCTTGAATTTCTGCATATCAGTATCAAACTCCCATCTCGTGTACAGTCCTGTTGGTAAATCTTGACACATTGAGAATGGGTAAAGCTGGCTTGCATCAATTCCAACGATCGATTTACAAACATTTGATGAGTTTCTGATGAATGTTTCATCAACTACAGCTTTTCGAGTGAAAACAAAGGAAAAATCCACCAGTCTGTCTTCTCTAATTTTTTCACAAATCTTTATCACTTTCGCAAAATGGATAAAACTTGTAATTTGTAGATTTGTATAGACATATGTTTGCTAAATTTCGAAGTATGCATCCAAGTTTCAACAAATCTATCCCCTTGTTATGATAAAACTGAATCATTTTTTGCATTGCCTCCGGGGTTGGAACTACGTCCTTGTTGTTGTACCACTTCGAAAAGTCTTTAAACACTGTCATTCCGTTTTTAATCCAAGTCTCTTGTAAGTTATTGTAATTATGCAATCCAGATGGAGGAACAGTCTTGATTTGAAGCTTTTTAAATGCCTATTGTTCGTCAAGCCCACTCTTTCTCATCTTCTCATAATCAATGAAGTCTTTGTCTAGAGGATTGTTGTTTCTAAGTTTACTGAAAAAGGTTTCATACGGCGGCAATTCGGGGTTATCAAACCACTCAGAGGGCAAAATTCCTTTCGCTTCGCTAATTTTATAGGCTTTGAGAAAGGAGTGCAGAGTAGTTGCTCCTCCCAAAAACTTCATTATGTCGAGGAATTGTACATCTCCAAACTTGAAAGATTTCAAGTCATTTGCTTTTTTGATGACGGATGTTACTTGTTCTTTATGGCGAATCAAATAGGGGATTAGGTAGGACTTGATCAAATTCAAATCTTATATACCACTAGTAAATCCAAAAACAGGTAAAGTATTTACATATCTCTCCAGATGCTGTTTCAAACCGATGAGCTGATTTTTCTGAATTCGTAAGAATTGTGTTGACAAATCGGCTTCTTCCGAATCTTCAATGCATTCGTCTTCGTACTCAAATTTGTTATTTGAATATCTTTTACCACGTTCGTTCAGCTGATCAAAGATCTTTTTCATTATTTCATTGATAGCTACTTCAAAATTGTGAAATTTTGTTCTCATCTCCAGCTTACTTTTTTCAGCCAACAGTTCGAGGTTGCTTACAAAATCAATTATCAAGTTCTGTGGATCCTTGTTGTACAAAAAGATAGGTTCATCAATCAGATTCGATGATATAGAGACTGAAAAAGGAACATGTTTACCAATCCAGGTTGTAGTTTGAGTTTCGTTTAATTCCTCTGTAGGAACACAAATCGACTCAAAATCGAAAATTGCTAGATTAAAAAGTTTGTTAAGTTCAGAAACTGGAAAACTGAATCCTTCTAGTTTTTCAAACAAGGTTTCGCGGAGCTCATACACGTTCTTTGGGTAAATATGTCTCTCTCGGTCCTTGCATCTCAGGAGATGCTGATTGAAGTGGTCTGATTTGTGGAAAAAGGTGTCACAGCTAGGGCATCGAAAGCACTTGAAGAAAATATGTATATCATTTGTATGAATGATATGATTGTTAAATCTCAGTAGCTTAACAATTTTATCAAAACTTCCGATCCATCGTCGAGCTAGTTCTCTTACATATTCTACTTCTTGGATGACGAAATCGTATATAAAGATGTTTCTTTGCACAATTTCCTCGACAACAGGTAAGTCTTCTACAGACACTCCACGAAAGTTTTTAGGATCATAAACAGATTTTGATATAAATTCTGTAAAGTATCTGAAAGTGTGAGAGTCGAGAACATTGTGTCCGTTCTTGTACATTGCCAATGCGCGGAAAAGGCACAAATCATCTTTGTAAGGTTCCTTCTCTTTGTTAGATAAAAGACAGTTCACTTGCGTATGTCGTAGTAAAGGTTCAGGTATGACAGAGTCCGGACATCCTATTGGCGTGTTTTCCAGCGAAGCAGCAAAAATTGTCACTTTTGTGATCAACTTGAATCGCCACTTTGTGTTTTGTCGCTCTTGGTTACATTGTTCCACAATATCAAATTTTTCCACTTTTCCTTGGATTGTTATCAAGTCTGCTTTAGTACAGAGCAAATGGGATTTTTCAAAAAAAAGTATTGTTTTCATGGCGAAGAAATATTGGTATTCACTAGTCTCAATATTTCGAAGAACAAAACCCAGGACAGTTTTGATTTCAGCGGCAGAACCGAGCTTGTTGAAGACTTCAAGTTTCTCGTTGATTATTTTAGTATCTAACTTGGACATTTGGAAGTTCAATACCTTATGTCTCCCATTTTCCATCTCCGTATCCACCAAAAAATGTTGACACGCACTAAGTTTTTCTTTAAGTTTTTCACCATCTTCCCCTTCTTCCTCCATAATCTTGTTCAAATCCGCTACAGTATCACTGGGTTTCCGTTGTTTTGCTCCATGTTCCTTTCTCCGATGTTGTTGGAGAGAAGAGTAACTTGGGAATTCTAGTTCGCAAGAAGGCTTAACTGTCGACTGCTTCGAACTTCGTGTATTTATAGCGTGTTATACGTATTTATACTAACAATGACCTCATGGCCTACGCAATTATCCTTTTATGGTAATGACATCATACTTTAAATAGAAGTAACTTCACCGCCTATGCAATTTTGTTTTTGTGGTAATGACGTCCTTCTATAAATAGAAGTGACGTCACCACCCGTGCAATTTTCATTTTATGGTAATGACGTCATCGCTTACGTCATTCCTTCGAAATTTTTAGAATTTTCCAGAAAAATTTTCAACTAAGCAGTTTCTAGACATAACTTTGGATCAAACATATAATCATTTTTGAAAAACGTCAATTAAAAACATTTGAATTTTCTCGAGTTACTCTACAAGAAAAAAGAAAATATTCCGTGTGATTTCCTTATTGATGAAATAGATGTAGATTCTTACTTTTTTCAAAACTTTTTGGACGTTTATGTAGTCCAAAATAGAGTTCTCCGAACAAGTAAAGGTCTCTTTAGGGAAACTTACTCAATCAAAGAGTTTACTTTTGATCCACATATTACGTATCAAAGCTATCAAGTTACAGCTGAATTACACCTGACTAGAAATGAAACTTTATTTATTTTAGAGAATTTGAAGTTAATAAAAAAAAGTCGTACGATAATATTTCGTAGACTCTTTTTATTCCCTACCCAGCTCCCAAATTTGTCAAAACTCCTCAGCAAAGTTCTTTATTCCTCAATTTCTTTAAAGATTTTCAAAGTTCGAAACCTTGCATGATCAGGTTTGGAATCAGACTTCCAGAGATTTGCTTTGACAAATTCATCAACTTGGAGTTATCCTCTCAAATCTACAATCTACATCGAAATCAAAGAACTTGAATATCTACTCAAAAATCAGCAATTTCTCATCAATTATATACAAAAAAATCAATTAACTTGATGAGAAGACTTGCAGAGATGCTACTTTTAGTAATTTTTCTTCGTTTGTTACTTAAATCGGGAAAATTTCTTATATTTAGTATAAATTACTTAAAAGGTTCTCGTAGATTATTTTGGTATCTAATTTGGACATTTGGAAGTTAAATACCTTATGTCTCCCATTTTCTATCTCCGTATCCACCAAAAAATGTTGACAAGCACTAAGTTCTTCCTTGAGTTTTCAACATCTTCCCCTTCTTCCTCCACAATCTTGTTCAAGTCCGCTACAGTATCACTGGGTTTCCGTTGTTTTGCTCCATGTTCCTTTCTCCGATGTTGTTGGAGAGAGCAGTAACTTGGAAATTGTTGTTCGCAAGAAGGATAAATTGTCCACTGCTTCGAACTTGGTTGATCATGCTTCTTCGCAACATGATAACCCATCTCCTCTTTGCTCTTTGTATAAAAATGACAGTTTGGAGACTTATGTTCCGCCTGCTTTTCACATCTATTTCGATGTCTCATAGCATCAGATCTAGTGTATTCATCACCAAATTTCTCACACTTG